CCCCCACTCCCCCCGCTTCCCGGGCCGCCTCTTTGTCTCCTGCAGGAGGGAAGGCGTTCGGCTTGCTCAAAGCCCGGCAGGACAGGAGGCTGGCCGAGATCAACCGGGTAAGCGCGCGCCGCCACGGGCGCCTTGCGAGTCGCCCCCAGATATCCCAGCGCCCCTCAGGTCCCACCTCCGTCTGCGAGGCCGTGCCTGCCGCAACCTCAACGCCCTTCTCTTCTTCCTCTGGGCTTCCCCCAAGTTCCTCCCTCGGCCCCTGCCCCCGAGCCTCCGACTCCAGGTGGGTCCCCCTCCACCGCCTCCACCCCCTCCGCTTCCCCCCCCCTCCGCCCAACTCGGCTCCCGCGTCTCGGGTTGCAAGTTGTTACTCTTAGACTGGGGAGGTGGGGCTCGCCCGGGAGCTTTGATGCCGCCGGGCCGGGCCTCCCCGGAAGCCCGCCTGGGACCAGCGGCAAAGATTGGGCCCAGGGAGGGAGGGAGCCCCGAAGTCTCTGAGCAGTCCCCGGTAGTACAGCCGCGGGAGGGAATGGAGGCCCAGAGAGGCTCGGTGGCTGCCCCGAGACGGCCCAGCAAGTCAGCAAGTCCAGGTGGGGCTGCCTTTAGAACCCGGGGTCCAGACTGCAGGCCGGGGCTCCCTCCTCCACAGAAAATGCAAGGCCCCACCCCCACCCCACCCCACAACTCTTTGTCACTCCAGCTTTTAGGAAAGGTTCTCTGAGACACTTGATGCTTTTCTTGTTGGACCTCGTGAATTTCTTTATAGAAATGTGCTGTTGCCAGGCACAATGGGAGCTCCGTAAACATTTGCTTCATGACCACGTAAATTCTAGAAGATAAGGAGAAGTGTCAGGGTCTGCCTGGATTGGCCAAAGCTCAAAGGCAGCACAGCCCGAGCTTTGGGGTTCTGTGAGATCTGGACTCAGGCCTGGCCTCCATCTGGTACCCCAGTCTCAGAACGAAGTTGGGGTCACCATGAGGGTTCACCAAGGGAAGGCATGTAGTGTGCATGGTTCAGTACCTGGCAGGAGGGATGACTTCTGTGGACCGTGCGAGAATTCTTTCCTAAGGTCGGCATCTCCCAGATCCCCTCCTAACAGGCCGCATAGGCATGCCCACTGAAACAAGGCTGGGCATTTCCCCCTCCTGGCTCCCTCAGCTGCAGGGCACCCAAGGTCCAAACCCAGCTTAGAGTCCCCAAATGGGAAGCTGGTGAGGTTCAGCAGGGTCCGGGTCAAGGCTGCGTGGAGGTGGGTCTGGGAGCTGTGGCACGGCTGTCCTATTTTGTAGTATTTCTTCTCGCCTGGGCTTGCAGTCTTGATTCCCTCCTTGATTTTTTTTTTTTTTTTTGGAGTGTCTGGAAGGAGGCAGCCTATCTGATTTCATCCTGCTGGCTGTAGGAATCCCAAGCAGGGCTCTGGGGACCCGGGGTCCCTCCCAAGTCAACTCTAGTCCCTTCTGTACCATCATCACCCTGCCTCTTGGGGCCGTCTTGAGCACAGCTGAAAGGGAGACTGGACGTGTGGCTGGGGCTCTCAGGGGTCCAGGCTGCTGGGCTCCCTCCCTGTTTACTCTGCAGCCAGCCCGCCCTTGGTCTTGGCTGCTCTTGCCCCCTGGACAGAAGCCTGAAACCCTGACCTCATACAGCCCCCTGGGCCACTCAACAGGGCGGGTTCCAAGCTGGCTGAATCCACCCACAGCCAGCAGGAATGGGAGAGAGGGCTCTACGGTCACACAAACCACAGTTGCTGAGAATGTGTGGGACTTTCGTGCCAGTCCTGCCCTGGGTGGGGGGCAAACCAGGGCAGGGGGCGGGGTGCAGTAAGCTTCTGGGTGGTTTGAGAGGTGGACTGGCTTGGCTCGGAAGGAGGTGGGGCAGTGGCTCTCAGGGGCTGATCTGGACAGTGCTGGGACTGGAGAAAGTGAGCAAGAGGGGGCCATGGGGACCCCAAAGCCCAGAGAGGGCAGGCAGCTGGCTAAGGCCACATAGAAGCCTGTGACAGAGCTTGCGGTCTAGTGTCCTTTCCCTGCCTAGAAGCTTTTCTGAGCCCCCCCATGCAAACCCAGGCTGCTGTCTGGCTGCTGGATCAAACCAGAGGAAGGGGACTTCAGGATCAAACCAGAAGTTTAAGCTGCTCCCTCACCCCCAGGAGGTCAAGCCCCCCCCCCCCCATAGTGTGGAGTCCTGAGTGGGGGTGAAGGGGTGGGCAGAGTGCTCAATGGCTCTATGACCTTGGGCATGCCACTTGAGATAATGGTAGTTTGGTTGCGGTGATTTTTCAGGGCGATAATCTATGTAAGATACAAAGCTGTCATGATCGTGTCATCGGTTTGTTTGGTGATTGAAGACGCAGGGAGTGGAATCCCAGGGGCAAGGTCTGAGACAAGCCGTGGGCTGCACCCTTCCATGCGGCGGAACCTTAGTCTTCCCAGCCTGAAGTGGGAGCAGTGATCCCTGCTCTGTCCCTGCGACAATCAGTGGAGATGAGCAGACAGGAGCTCTTTGCAGACTGAGGGAGTCGCTCTGTTTGAGGGTCTGAGTCCGCTTCACCCATGACCGGGACCACAGCAGAAGTTCCCCAGGGTGGGCGGATTCTAGAGGGAACCATGTTGTCAGCCCAGAAGCCCAGAAAAGACTGCCTTTCTTTGGGGTGCAGCTTCACCGCCCCCATTGGACCAGAGCTTCTAGGGGGCCGGATGGAGCAGTTTCCCGGTGGCCCTGCGGAAGGAGGAGCGCTTGGAGGATGGGGCTTCATGACTCACTGGGCTGCATGTGCTTGGGGGCTTCTCCGGGCCAACACCCCAGTTCCCTCTGGGGCCTTCCCCCCACCCCAGGGCCGGGCCAGCTTCCAGGGGGTAGCAGGGCAGCTCAGTCTCAGCTATTGTTGTTATAAGGGTCAGGAGCAAAAGTAGAAGGAGACTTGGGTGGACCTGGGGGGTCCTGGGGGGCCGCATGGAAATGCACTTTTTTTTTTGGTTTCGCTCTAGTCTTTGTGATCCTTTTCTGAGGCCTTGGCATGAGCTGGGCAGCGTGCCAGGAGTGCTCTGGGCATTATCGCATGGAATGCTCACTCTCATCTCGTGAGTGTCTATTCCCATTTTACGGAAAACAAGACTCAGAGGGGCTGAGTAAATTGCCTGAAGCCAGCCTGTCTGCCGTGCGTGTGCGTGTGCGTGCGCGTGCAAGCACGTGTGGGCATTCTCGGCACTACTGAAGCGGGCAGGACCTGCGCGCGCCTCCTCCTCCCCCCCACATAGCTGACATTCCCTGAGCCTTGGTGGCATGGCAGGTGACCCCGGGCCAGCCAGGCCTGACCTTATATGGCAACGGGACAAATTCTCGCCAGCTTCCCACAGGGACAGAGAGAAGCAGTGAGGCTGGGGGGGGGGGGGACGGTGCCCCGCAGAGTGCCCTCACCCTTGGGACTGAGCAGGAGGAGCCCAGAGGATGGCAAGGGCTGCATCTGGAACCATCCAGGGGCCAGGATCTCGAACCAATAACGTGGGTCGTGCGTTTGCCCCGTGCGCAGGACTTGACGTGCATCATCTCAGTGACTCCTCTGGATGGAGCGCTTGATTAGATGGATGTGCAGGAGGAATCTATAAACATCCCCGTGGGACAGGGATTACTCAGGCTCACGTTTTAGAGATGAGGAAACAGCCTCGGTGAAGTCACCTGCCCAAGGTCACCCAGCCAGGAAGTGGCAGAGCAGGGATTCTGACCCTAACGGCACCTGTGGCCCGCCCGGGACCCTGCCCGCCAGGGGCCTCTCCTGCCTAGGTGATAAGGATCTCTGGCTACTGTCTCACCTTCCCAGCCCTCCTGGGTCGAGTGAAGGGCACTCGGCATTCCCTGCAGCATTTAGGGGCCCAGTGGTTATTTCAGAGCCCATGCACCGTCTGTACTGGGAAGAGTTGGACAGGGCAGGCTGCGGATCTGTGCCCCGGTGTTATATGTCCCCAACCTGCCCCAGCAATAGGGGACCTCTGAGACCTGAGCCAGGCACTGCGCAGGTGCATCTCTTTCCCTGTGTACCCTGTGCCACCCTGTCTGTCCCTGCCCGGGTGAATGTGCCCAGCTGGCATCGCCGGGCACCCGTCTCTCTTGCTCTTCCTTAATATATTATAAGGGAGATGGTGATAAGCGGCCACGTGAGCCTCCGAGGATTCAGTGTCCCCGCAGGTACAGCCGGTCTTGACCTTGGCGTGGCCGCGTCCCAGGAAGCCGGGGATGGAATTTCTGTCGGGTCTGCTTCATTTGTGTAGTCTGTGGGGTGTTTTTCTTCAGCTGCCCCATCTGCTGGCAAGGATGCTGCATCCAGCTGAGGCCCCGGAGCTGCCGTGGGGAACGTGAGCCTGCTGTCCTTGTGGTGCACGTTACAGGCTCTTGCACACCAAGCACCAGGCACGGACCTGGCCCTGGCCCCTTAAGAGCCTGTGGGTTGCGTCAGAGGCATCTTGGCCCAGGCCCGGTATGGTGCTGCCTGTCCTTGGGGGTTTTGCCCAGGGCTTCAGCCACCAGCTCCTTGGATGGCCTCCAAGATGGTGATATCTGCCCGCCCCAAAATTCTGCTGCAGCTAATACATAAAGACAAGCCTGGAGGGCCAGGAGCAAGCCTCCGGGAACAGGTGCTAGAGCTATCAGCCCAGAAAGAGAGTTACGGAGGGGAGAGCCGGCAGGTGGCAGGGATCCGGAAGGCCGGACACAACAGGGGCTGCCAACCTCAGCTGGTTTTGGAAACATTCCCTTCCCGGCACAAGTGCCTAGATGGGGCTCCCAGGGATGGGGGGTAGATTCTGATGTGCATCAGAGGTTGGAGGGGACAGGGGGAGGCAGCGGCGAGCAGGTGTGGCTGTGGGCGCCGTCCCCTGGGGCTGAGGTGGGAGCACTCTGTCCCGTGTGGACGGCCCGTCACTGCCAAGTCTGCCAGGTGTCCAAGGACAAATCAAAGCTTGCCCTTGCAAAGGGATGGCCAAAGGGTCGCGGCTTACCAGGAGGACTCCGTGGCGCAGTGTGGGACAGAGAGTTGTGGGTAGGTCTCCGCCCTTCCCCTGCTCACGTTTATCTCTTGGTGAGGCTTGAGTTTGGGTGATCCAAACACATCGT